AGTCCTATTGTTGCAGTGAGGATCTAGACCAGAAAAAGGAGACAGAGCTTTTGACATAGAGACAGTAATGGTTGGCTTGCAAGTTTAGCATGAAGTCTAGGTTTTCTGCTGGTGTAGATGAAGACCAGCCTGCTGTTCCAAGCAGGACCTTAGGGATGGGGTTCATTAGATACTCCCCAGGTTTTTTTCTTCACAGGCAAAGGTAGATGCTGTCCAGCTTCCAGGTTGCTCTTCAGGAGCGGCATGGTGTCTGTACAATGGTCTGTGAGCTTTGCTGAGGCTCGTGGTGGTGCCAGTTGCCTGATCCCTGCAGCATCTCTCATCAGTTCTGAAGGGGTTTTACTCAATCTCCTCCTAGCTCTATTTTGGAGAAGCAGCTCTGAACTTTTCCACCATCAGATACTCTCCAAAGGAGCTTCTGTCCCCAGGGCAGGAGTGGGGGGAGGAAGTGCCCCCTTGGGGACAGGTTCTGGTTTTTTTTACTGTGCTCACAGTGTGTTCTGGAGACCTTTGTGGTTTGGAAACTCCAAACCTCAGTGAGGTATTCCTGGTGCTTCCCTTTGAAAGAGGAGCAGGTGGTCTGGGAATGTGCAGAGCTGGGTCAGGAAGACTCATTTAAGCATGTCTGTGTCAACTGACCAAAAGGGACAGAGTAAGGGTCCCCAGGTCAGCTTTCCTGGCGGGTCAGGGACATGCCTGGCACCTGCACTAACGAGCTGCACGCTGTGTGGTGTCCTCAGCAGTGCTCTGGGCCTGGCCACACAAACTGAAACTGCAGAGGTGGCATGCCTTTGTGGCTTTCCATTGCAGGTTTGCCATTTTAATGAAGAGCTTTCAGGTGCCCTGAAATTACTGCTTTGTCTCTCAGTTACTGGGTGATGAATTCTTGCTGCACCAAACCAGAAAAAAACTGAGGTACAGCTCTGCGCTGTCCCTGCCAGTGGAAAATGCAGTGCAGGAAAGTGTCACTGCTGTTATTGCTGTTATCACATTTGGCTGCTGGTTGGATTTGAAGGAATACAAAACTTCCCCTTGGAACAGCACCCAGGGGTGCAGGCAGGTGAGTGCTGCTTGTGGCTGTAGGCAGAAGCAGGAGAGCTTTTTGCTGGCTGCTTGCCTTACAGAAAATAAACTTTTGCCTTCTGACAGTCCAGCTAGCACAGAGCAGTGTTTGCTTCCTGTAATGTCAGTGAGAGGTGGGGCTGAGCAGGAAATTGGTGCTCTGAATGACTTCTCCATAGACTGCTCCTTGCCAACCGAAATTATGCTTTAAGATTTTATTTTTACCATTATTTTGTCAAGCCTGCAGGAAATTCACCATTTCCATTATTTCCACAAGCTTCACTTGGCACTTACTGTGTGAAGTCTGTGAATCCATAGGATCAGATCAAAGCTGTTCCCTTTGACCATCTGAACTAGAAACATGCCAACTGTGAGGCATTATTTTTAAATTGCCTGTAAAAATTTAAAAGGATTTCCAAATATTTTTAATAATTCCCTAAAACAGTCTAAGGACATCTGTTAAAGTACTGAATTTCCCAGAAGACAGCAGTAGTTGGGATTGCTTCAGCTGCAAATTAAGGTTGTCAGTCAAAGGGCTTTTTCTGTTTCAGTCTCTGATCTGGGAGTTTTTAGCATCTCTTCCAAAGTGAGCCAAAGAAAGACAGCTAGTGAGCTGTTCTGGCTTGTTTTGCCATGTGTTTAACCTAGCAAACAGTAAGTTGATACCTTTTGTGAAGTCTTCTGTATTTTACTGGATACCTCTGCTTGGTGAGGAACCAAGCTATGCAGTTTTGACATATTTTTGCACTTTTCATATTCTTTCTTCTGCAGCATGCGTGCCATGTTTTAATATATTGAGTAGCTGTGGCAAACGCTATTGTGTGTCTGCAAACATTTGAATTATATTAAGGCAGTGGCTCTGCTAATGAAGAGCTGGAGTAAGAGGCAGAATGATGTATTTACTCGCCAGGATTCCCTGCAGAGATGAATAGTAGGTTCATGGTGAGCTAAAAGGACATGACCAGCCCAAAAAGTGTTTAAAAGATGTGCTTGTTTATTGCATGCTGATATTCCAACTCCAGCTCCATCAAGGGCTATGACAGTTTATGAAAATATTGCTTCTCTACATAACTATTTTATGGTGGTGCTGATGCCATACTGATTTAGATTTCCACCTGCTCATATGCATCAGAATACTTCATTTTGTGTCATGGTAACATGAAAGTATAAGAGAAGGGGAAGGCTTTGTCTTTTCTAACTGGCTTTTAAAGCTTTCATTATTTTGTTCTGTGTGATTGAAAGAAACTGGCATCATCACCAAGCTTGCAACAGAGGAAACTTTTTTTATGTTCAGTGTTTAAAAGATGTCAATGTTATTTCCTTTGTAAACAGAAGATGATGGATAGAAAATCTGCCGAGTTTTCAGCAAAAGGGAGTAATTTCTTTAGTTCTTTTTCATTCCTTAATGGAAAAAGAATTATGGAAATGAGAACAGGCATTGCATTAAGTGCTTCCAATGTTCTTTCCCTTCAGACCAATAAAAACATACCTCCTCCATTAGGGAAATTTAGTTTTTTGAAGCCTGTGTGAATTTGAATTCTGAATGAGTGAATGAGATGACTATGCTGGGGTAAACATTTCCAGGTCTGATTATCTATTTTAAGCCTTTTCTAGATGGATACCAGCTCTTTCCTTGTCTTGTAGGTCTTCTTCAGAGCAATTCTTTCTGTGACTTTTTACATTGGCTTATCTTGTAGTTCCTCTGTAGTGCAATCTCATATTACAAAGAGCAGCAACAGAGTTTTCAAAGTCATGGGAATTGAACTATTTTCTTGCCTGACTGTGAACTAGAGTTCCTGGCTTTTTCAAAACACTCCAGCTGCTTGAAAACTCCATAAGCAAAATTCAAACAGTACAAGTCAAAAAAAAAAAAAAAAAAAGACTTTTCTGTGCTTCCTATGGCGTGTTTATAGTAGCTATAGTCTCACCCATAACTATACATTATGCAGATTGTAGCTGTCTACTTTTAAAAATACTCTTTATGTGTAAGTGGGAAATGGATATGCAGCAATAAACTGCTGTTCCTGGGTGTGTTCAAATCAAGTCCCTGAGCAGGGGGGATCCAAGTGAAGCCATATTTTGTCTCTCAGCTGTTAACTATAAAATAGTAATAAATAATCAGCATTCATTTCTGGAAGTTCTAGAAGATAACAAAAATTAGAGAAGAGGAGAATCATTACAAGTCATTACCACCGATCCTTATTTATAAATTACTAATCATAATTCAGTTTTATATACAATAATACTTAAGGTGCCAGATACATTGCAGAGGTATAGAAGGATGATTTGTCCTCATGTAGTGCAGGAGGGGACAGAGGCACCAAGAGCTTCTGAAACTTGTCCAAGATCCAGAGATGATTAAGTGGAATTATTTTTTTCATTATTATTTTTATTTAGTTGTAAATAGTCTTGATGTAGCTAAAATGTTCTAGTTATAATTGATGAAATAAACCCCATTTTACTCTTTATTGGTGAAATGTTGCCCACGGGAACATGCTGCAAAAACAGTGAAGGCAACAAATGTAATTACTGCGAATATTTGGTCATGTGAGGCTGGTTTTGTTTTAGTTTTTTGAGGTTTATTTTCTGAAAACACTGCTGGGAATTGTTTGTCCATCACTAGAGTGTTCCCTGAAGGCCCAATCCACCACAGGACTCCCAGGAATAATTTTTGTGTTCCTGTTATATTTTATACGCTGACAACTTAGTCCTTCTGCCATGATCCAGAAAAATTTGCATCTATGAAAATATTGTGTTCATTACAAATTCAGGAGGCAAGGAGAACATGCCTGACCCACACAATTCTCTGTCCCCACCCTGATTATTCATTCCTAATGGAAAAATTTTGAAATGCTGGGAAAAGACATTGGACATAAAAATTTTCAACTTCTTGCTGATTTTAAGTTGAAAATTTTTCAACTTCTTGCTGTTTTATGTCCTCTGCCTATCCTGTGTCTCAGTCAATTGATTATTTGATGAATTTTCTCAGTCACTTGATGAATTTGATCGTAATGCCTGCTGTAGGCATTATGAGGAGATGCTAGTGGTGAATCTCCACCTCTCACATTTGATTTTTGGCTGATTTGATTTGTGGTCACCCCGTGCTGGTGCTGTGGGTGGCTAATAGCCCCGGAGGAGCCAGCTGTGCAGGCTGGGGCTGCCTGTGGAAAACACGAGCTCCCCGGTGCCCCGGCTGTGTTTGCACACAGCAGCAGCCAGATGGTTGGAGCTGTGGGTTTGCTTTGCCTTCTCTCTGCAGGAGAAATACCTGAGATGGATGTTGCCAGGTCGCAGCGTGGCTCCTGTGTGTTACCAGCTGCTCTGGCTCTTCTCTCAGAGGTGTGCTTAAAGCATTATAATGAGAAATTGGAAAAACTCTCTGTGGTCCAGTGGGAAGTGGGGAAGAGTTTGTCCTTGTGTTCTGCAGAGCCGGTAGGATGGGTCTGGTCACGAGCTGGCATCCCAGCCCACAGTGTGGTGGGGAAATGTGCCAGATGCTTCACAAGTGCTTTGAGATCAAAGGCACTCTCCACATGTAAATCACATTTTCTCCTCTCCAGCCCTTGGGCATGGCTCGCTCACTTGATGGGCACACACTGTCACCCACTGGAGTCATCAGATGCTGTAATTTTGCAGATTTGCCTCTGGAATGCACTGCTGCAGTCAACCACCCTCCTGAAACACCTTTGGGAAGCTTAGGCCAGGTCCCATATCACCTTTTAAAATTACAGGTTGGTTGTTAGAGACAATCATCCCTAAAGCACAGCCAGACAGAGCTGTGGTGTCCACTCTGGGCTTATCCTGGACAGGAGGAGTTACTGCAGGGTAGGTGCACCCCAGCCATGCCCCAGCTCGGGGTCAGTGCTGGGCAGAGCTCCAGCTGTCTCACCAGGCAGCCATCCCCATCTCACACCCTTGGTCTCGTGGTCTTGTTCCAGGGCAACCCACTGTACTTCCAGTCCGCCAGGAACGTGACCGTGAACATCCTCAACGAGAAGACAAAAGTCCTCACTCGCCTTGTAACAGGTAAGGAGGGGGAAAGGCTGCTTGGAGGGATTAAGGAGGGATGAAAGTGCATGTTTTGGGATGCTGTGCCAACTTCAGACAGCGCACAGAAGGGAGTCTGGGTGTTTTGTGGAGTAGAAATGAAAACTTCACTCCACTCTGTTGAAACAGGCAGAGACAGGAAAGCTGTGCTGGAGAGGGAACTGGCTGGGGCTGTCTGACAAAGAAGCAGACCATCATTTTCATCTGAAAGCCAGTCCAGAGTTAGGAATGTCTGTTGTATGACATCAGGGTCAAGAAGAACATACGCCTGGCTGACATTTCTGTTGTAACAAGCACAGGTTTTTCTGAAGACATTTATAACTGCCTGAAATCTTGGGAACTCTGGAGTCCAACTGTGGCAACAGTTTGCAATTTAAAGTCCTTCTGCTGATGAAGAACTCCCTTTGCACCCAAACAAGAGTGTGTTGGGTGGGGAAATGAGTGTTTTATAAATCCCCAGGGCACAGCAGCTATGAATGAATGCATGAGTAATTTGGGTTGAAAGAGCCTAATGCATTATATAAAGAATATGGCATTGTATATATGGTATAAAATACATATTTGATATGGGACAGAGATATACTTACTGAGATTTTTGCATGGACTGTCAGAAGTATTGGTGTGTGGCGAGGGCAGTAATCCATAAACATGTTTCTAAGTTGAGACTGGGTTGCTTGGTTTGCTTATATAACATCTTGGCCTTTAGTCACAGTATTAAATAATTAAATATGCAGCTTCAGTGAGCAATTATTTAGGCAGCATGTGTGAAACTTGCCTGGAGGAAGGAAATAAATTCGACCCCCAGGCTCCCTGATTCTCACATTCAGAGGGAAGGTCTTCAGTTTGTTGGCTCTCTGTGTATTTTCAAGAGGGTGTTTGGTTCACTTAAGCACCTCTGTGTCACGAGACTTTGGGACTCAGTGATACCTCCCAGTGTGATGCTCTGGTTATTGAGCTTTTTATGCATTCAGTACCAGCTTTGGTTTCACACTGGAGCAAAGATGTGGTCCCATGTTGTGCCTACTGCAAGGATGAGTGGGGAGGTGGTTAATAAGCAAGACACAAATCAGATTTTTACTGCATTTTCTCAGTGTGGCTGCACGAGTTTTTAAGTATTTCCAGGGATCTCAGCATGGCCTCACTTGTCTGAAGTGCAAACCACCTGCATGATTCTGTGTGTCCAGGTGCCAGCACAGGTGACCTGTGCAAGGAAATGCTGGGTAGGGATGGAGTTTTTAAGAAAATACTGGCTTTCAAGTGTTATTTCTCTTTTGAGAAATGAGACTGGTCTTGAAGATGGCCGGAATTAATGCAAAGTCCAATCACCTGCCTCGTGCAGGATGATATTCCAGCAGGGCTGTGGTTTAGATGGAATTGGGAGGGCTGATGAGTGGTGAATTGTCCAAAGTCTGGCCTAGGTCTGTAACCCAGGGCAGCCTCTTTGTCACTCCTGGCAGCCTTTGAGCCACAAACCTGCACAGAATGGCTGTTTAGGCAGCTGATGTTTATCAGCCCCCACAAGAAATCACATTGCCAGAGGCTTTCCAGCACTGTAGGGCACAGCAGCCTGCAGGAAAAGCAGCAGAATTGAAATAAGATCTTCAAAGGAAAGTTTTACTTGTCTAAAAACTTTCTGCAGTGTGAGAGGATGCCATTTTTCTTGGCCTGCACATGATTGAAGGAGTGTAAAACAAAACATTTGCTCCTGTGCTGGTATTTGTCTTTTTTTTTTTTTTTTTTTAATTGGGCTGTTCATGACACTGATAGAATTTTAATCCAGGTATGTTTAAAAGCTAGAAAACCAGGAATCTTTTACACAGCAGCATCAGTCCAAGCAAAAGGGGCCCAGGAGCTCTTGATGCCTCTTACACCTGCACCAATACTCTCAAGGCATGGCTGGATGTGTTCATTGCTGTTTCACAGATGGGTCTGTCTTTTTGTAAAAATATCCCAGCTATCCCAAGTTCAATATAAGCATTATGGCACATATAAGCATTACAAAAGCATAAGTAGAAATAGTTGAGCAGTTGTTACTTGGGTAGAAAACTGCCCTTTCCTAATAAGATCTAAAAAGCCTCCGTTTGGTGTCTCTGATGCAATTTGTTGAGCTACTGTTACTCAGCAAATGGGTTTATTGAATGTATGAAGCTACTGTGTGATTTTCTTACACTTTTCACTAAAGTAAAGCTTCTTCCCCTTAGGTCCCCAAGCAGTGGAAGCACACAGCCAAAAATTTGAGGTGAAAACCCTCTCTGGAAAATTGCTGTTTTCTGCAGATGACAACGAAGTGGTGGTTGGAGCAGAGAGATTGAGAGTTCTAGGTAAGAGATTGTTCATTAAGCCACAGTTTTAATATGCACCTCTTCAAGTCTGAGTATAGTTTTGCCTGACTTTCCTTCCTACTTGCTGAAAGCTTCTTTTGGAGATAAAACTTTCTGCTGTCTTTATGGCTTTGAATCTTCTCCAGGCAGATAAAGGCCAGGAGTTTTGGTGGGAGGGCTTTCTTAACCTGCACAATTTGTTCTTTTCTTTCACCTCCAGAAAAAAAAAACTCCCCTGGAAATGGTTTTTCTGGCAGAGTGAAATACCTTTAAAACCAGTTTTGGAACCTGAACAACTTTTGTTTCTTGGATCTGGGGTGGAGGACAGTGAGGGGCTGCCCCAGGGATGTGCCCGTCTGCAGTCACTGTGCAAAGGGAAACCTCAGGGTTCATGGTTTGGTGCCAGCACTGTCACCAGCTCCTCCTTCATTCTGAAACAAACACCAGGAGGATCTGCCTCCCCAGCTGTGCTGCCTGCCAGGCCTTATTCCTAATGAAGTAGGAATAAGTGGTATTTCCTAATGAAAACTGGGGATACACTCTGGGTTTGGGATGTAGGGGTTCTTTCTTATTTCTTTGGATTTTTTTTTTTTTGTCATTAATTGGAGAAACAAAACAGTTGTGGCAATTGGAAATTTTGAAGCTTATTTGATAGTTATATAAAATTAACTGTCTGGAACTTGAATTTTTGTGCTCCCTAATTCAATCCAGGCTCTTTGCTTAGTCTGGGATTTGAAGTCAAGTCTGGGATTTGGTCAGGAGTGTTTTCACACAGGACCAGAGTGGGTAGCTCAGTGCTGTTTACAGTCACACAACAGTGCTGCTGGTCTCTGTGGAGGCACCAATATCTGTTTTATAGTGTCTTGCTTTGGATACATCTTTTCATTCCAAACTGTTCCTTACTTCTCTTGTAAAAACAGATCAATAAGGAGCTTGGAATTTTATGTAGATATAGATAGTATTTTATTATTATTGTTACTATAATTTCTAGCTATTTAATAGTATATTATGTATAATATAAATGGGACTTGGTATTCACCCTTAGCATTTTTTGCTGCCTGATGTCCTGCTGTTCTGGATGGTTCCTCTTTGGGGACAGGGTGGGTGTAGCTCTCTGCAGATCACTGTTGTTACACACTGGACTAGTTCAGTCACCGGCTATAAAAAGTTAGGCAGGCTTCACAGGATAAATGTTGAATTTCACAGAACTAAGAGTATCTTCATTAGCTTAGAACTTCAAAGAGGCCCATTCAAAATTCTTGTGCTGGGGACATTTGTAGCAGTCCCTGTTCTCCAACAAAGTTCCCTTCACACTGCACCTTTCAGAGCTAGTTCATGCAGGGTAGATGAAGTCAGGAAGCAACAGTTTTAAGTGTTTTCTTGGAAGCCTTAAAATAAGAGAGATTTGCATTGTTGGTTAAAAAAAAATACAGGACCTTCTCCTTAAAAGCTGCAAGTACTCCTTTTCAGATTACACACTTAGAAAAAATTGCTTTGAAGTTCCTCTGTACTTTCAAGAAACCAGGAATTAATTTTGATAGCTATTTTGAGTTTCTGTCTTGTTTTACTCTCCATAATAAACAGCATCAAAAATCTGCTGATCACTGTAGTGCACTTTGATTTTTACCTGTAACTGAGTGTTTCTCGAGGTTGGTTTGACTTTTGCAGATCTATCAGAAAAGAAAAAATAGAAGGATACTGCTGGTGATGTTACATAGCAAGTATTCCAATGACCTTGAGCTGAAATGCTTTCTGAGTTCATTCTTGGCTTTGTTTTTCTCCAGCTTTGCTTCCCCAATCTAATTTTATCTCCAAAAGTGTTTGCCGTGGCTGTTTGCCATGCTGGGAAGTGTTACACCATATGTTCGTGTTTCTTGCAGTGTTTTTGTCTGCTCTGAAGGCCAGTCCGAGTTGCAGCACACAGACAAATTCCTTTGATCATTCTTCTGGTGTTTGGGCTCTCAGGTGCTGCTGGAATGTGTCTGCTGACACCCATCTAGGCCATGTAAATAATTTCAACTTGTTCTTTTTATTACTGAACAAACACTTCTTGTAGAGGCAAGTGTGTGTCAACAGCCTGGCATGAAAGTCATCCCACAGAGGTCAGAGCAGCAGTTCTTGTGGCCAGCTTTGAATATTGCCAGAGACAATAACTCTTTTCTTTGTGCAGACTCCAAAGTTTTTTTCTGGAAGTTTGTGCTACAAACCAATGCTGAATCCTTGTCCTGAGAAAAGAGGTGCTCTTCTGTTTTGAAATGAACCCTGCTCTGGATATCTAGAGGATTTTTCAACATTAGCAAGGGATAAAAAAAGGGGAAGAATACACAGAATTATAGATTAAAAACAAATGCAAGTAGGACATACGATGCATTTGATGGTGCTTCAAAAAACTGCGCAGCACGGGCAGTGCATATTTCCATATGAAAGTGCTTTTTATTTGATTTGTATTTTGGGGAGTTATTTCTGATTTATGAGCATTAAAGGACACAGAAAGACAGAGCTGGCCACCTCTGCTTTTCATGTATGACGTAATTTAGAGTACTTCAATTATTTTATTTGATATAGTGAACCCAGTCAAACCTGTCATCACAGGAGAGGCAGGAGGATGGCAGGAACTTCTGTCTGAGGGGAAGGGCAGATCTGAGCCCTGCGGCCGTGGTGAGCTCTGGTAACACTGACACAACCTTGTTCAGCCACAAAAAATCCCCTCTGCCTTGCTCAGGTTGGGAGCTCAGCACTGCCAGATAACCCTGAGGGAGCTTGTGTTTGCCTGCAGGAACCCTATAAAAACTGAGCTCTACAACGACTCCACTCTGCCCTTTTACTTCTGAACTCCTCTGTCAGTGCTCGTGTGCTGATGGGATGGGATGGGATGGCATGGGATGGCATGGGATGGCATGGGATGGCATGGGATGGGGTGGGAGCACATTCTCACTCTTAGCATCCCTTCCCTCCCCAAATGGAACTGGAGCACCCCATGGTGTTTTGAAAGATCCCATGGCAAACCTCAGAGCTGCTCTCCTTCCCCAGAACCTCAGCTCTGCCTTGGCAAGGCTTGGATTTCTGAAGGCAAAGCCTGCCCCTTCTCTGCCCGTGGTGGCCCTGGGAGCTGTGTGTCTGGGGTGATGTGCAGCCCTTCCCTGCAGCCCTCGCCGTGGTCAGCAGAGCTTTGGGCAAACCCCACAGCTCAGAGCTCACGCCTGGCTGGAGCCCCCGAGGGCTCCTAACACAGACCCTGGTAGGGGAGATAAATGAGCTGCTCCTAATTGAATTTGTATTTGCTGCCTCGTCCTTCCTCCCTCCCTCCCTCCCTCCAGAAATTAAACGTGTCCAGACCATCTGAAAAACAGGGTGTAAGAAACACTCTTTAGTTAAAAGAGTATTAAAAATAACTTTGATGTATATTAATTACAATTTCATTTAATAGCTTATTGAACGTTATAGCATTTATAAATAAAAGACAGTCATAAAGCATTATTCTGACTGTTAATTAGCTCTATTTATTCTCCAGATTAGTTTTTAAATATGCCCTCTAGATGCCACTTGATACTAATTAACAGAGTTACATTATTATCTCTATAGAAAGGCATTTTTAATTAAATCTAAAGCAATTTAAATTAGCATGAGTTTTTACAGAAATTAAACTCTGGTCAGATGCTTAATTTAGCCTTATAAGACAACATCTGATGACATGCCAGTGTCAGTTCTCCCAAGGGCCTTGACATCTTTTTTATTTCAGACTATTTTTTGAAGTTTGTTTTCAGGGAAACTTGCCACTGTACTCTGGTGTTTAATATTTATGATGGATTTAACCAATTTTTTTGAAAGCTAAATGTTGATGGGAATCCACATGCATTGCAGTGAGCTGAGATAATACCACAAAAGCCACACTTCTGCAGCTTACAGGAGTCTGGCAGTCCCTGGGTTTGTGTGGGAGGTGGGATTGTATGGGCTGGATGTTGTTCCCTTACAAACCTACCAAGCTTTTTACCACTGTTAAAATTACTGTTTTGCTTTCCAACAAGGATGGGATTAATCACAGCCCCACAGGGTCCCTTCTCTGTAACAGAACAATACAGGGATTGCTCCCCCTCCTCAGAAAATGTCTCAGACATTTTGGAATAGCGTGGCAGAAGCTTTTCTTCTAACGGAGCCTAATGATAAAGATTTGGCTAAAGCCTTCTCCTGTGGCAAACCCGAACTGAAATAGCTGTATTTAGAGTGGGTTAGGATGCCTTTCATCTCCCAGAATAAAGACTGCAGGAGCAGTGTGACCCAGCACCATGGCTGATTTAAAAGCACCTTTGATCTCACCAACCTTTCCCTGCTCTCCTGTCAAATAATTAGCCAGTAGCTCCATTTCTACCTTGTAGCTTCTTTTCCACTGTAGCAGACACCCTTTGGGCAGTGAGCCATGTGGAGCATGTCAATGCTGACCACAGGTTAGGCTTTTGGGACTGTTAGTTTGGGAACTTTTTTTTTTTGCTCAAGGTTCTCTCCAGCTGCCTGGGAATGCACCTGGAAAGAGGAATCAGCTGTTGAAAGGTTATTGCAAATTTATTAATAAGTTTGGAGTAATTAAATCCAAGGCACATTTCCAGCATGTTATTTATGAGCTGTTTATAAAGGAGTTTAGAGGATTTAGTGGAGGGACACCAACAATAAAAGCAGTGTGGTCCAGGAGTGTGTGGCTTTTTACAAGAGCAAGCAGTGACAGGAGGAAGAGGGATGGCTTTAAACTGAAAGAGGTTAGATTTAGATTAGATATCATAAAAAAATGGGATACTGTGAGGGTGGTGAGGCACGGGAATGGGTTGCCCTGAGAAGCTGTGGGTGCCCCATTCAGGTTGGATGGAGCTCAGAGCAACCTGGTCTAGTGGAAGAAATCCCTGCCTGTGGCAAGGGAGTTGAAACAAAATGACCTTTAATGTCCAGTCCAAGGCAAATCATTCTGTGACTCTGTGATTGGAGAGAGCTCTTTTAAATGACAGTGTTGGGGC